CACTCACACACACACACACACACACACTCACACACACACACACTCACATCTGTTCACACCTGATCGTACAGCTCGTCACTCATGGTGGGTTTGGGTGCAGTGGTCCACTTGGCTCCTCGCCTGAAGTACTCCTTAATGAGGGGCCGATACGCGCGGTACTCGAAGAACCGGGCCCTCCAGGCCATCGGGGCCTCGATGATCTCGTTCCCCACCACGATCAGGATATCTCTCGGCATCGCTGCGTACATGCCTGCAAAACCAGCCTGTCAGTGTCAGTGCTCATATCATGTTACTGATTACATTTGATTACTTTTCTAAATTTCTAATGAATGTTTTTAACCGTTAATCATTTTTAAACATTTAACACAAGCAGGATTAATCTTACAGTAGAACTCAACACTGATTACTGTCAGACTTTCAGAATCCTTCATCACTGTAATTAATATTGTAATAATTTAATTTGAAAGCACACCACAAAATCAGACTTTAGAACCTCTTCTTACTTTGACATCATTCTGAGCTTAAATACAGATTTAAAATCATAACAAGATATAGTTTAGTAACTATGATACGGTTTTTGAAATCAAATATTTATATAGCTATGACAGAAAACACTGGCATCTAACAATGCCTTGGAAAAACACATTTAATCTTAAAAAATAAAGCATATACAAACCCAAATAGGAAATAAAACAGTTATGGAATAAGCATGTGTTCTATTCTGTGTCCTAAACTCCTGAAACATTAGTCTCATATTTTAAAGCAGTCAATGCAATTTGGAGAAGAAATCAATATCTGCATGCGTGTGAAAATATTCAGATGTAACCCCCTTTATAATCCTTACAGTAATATTTTCATAAGTAACTGTAATTAAATTACACATTTATCTCAGTAACTGTAACAGATTACAGTTACATTTACTTCTGTTACATGTAACTTACTCTCCCCAACAATGAAGTAACTATAATAAATATATGTAAATATAATGGTATACATATAAGTATGTGTGTGAGAGAGCGTTTTTCCACCTCAGTGTGCTGTCTGTGAGCTGAGACACAACACGTCTGCATCTGCAATCAAACGACACTTGACTGGCTGTACCTTGACCTCCACGGTGAACGGGGGGACGCAGGCGTTCTCGGCTCTCCCTACGATCACCTCCTCGAGCGGGTCCCACTCATTGTGCGCGCACACGGGGCAGTCCTCGGGCGTGTACTCGGTAACCGGCTCGTCTGCTGTGAGCTGGAGCGCGGCGGCGGAACTCGAGGTGCTGCGGAACGCGCGTGACACCCATCCCGACACCGCGCGACCCACCTGCGGGACACAAACCGAACTCACAAATCACCGCCAAACAACAACAGAGGTCAAGAAAGAGCAATGAGACGAATGCACGTGCGAATTACAGAGTCCTTCAGTGGCTAAATTAGTCAAAGCAAGTTCTTTAGTTCTTTACATGTTCTTTAACGAAAAATGGTGTAGAAACTATTTTCATTCAGAAATTGCTAGCAAATTAAACGTGAAAGTTTTAGTTCTTGTAAAACATACTCCAGTAAACATTGTTTTATTTACAACTTATTTAAACTTAGTTAGCATAATCATTAGCCAAAACATTAAAAATGTTGGTAACACTTTCTTTTAAGGTGCCTTGTTACGTTACATGTACTTACTATTATAGTAACAATAAATTACGCATAATTACACGCAAGTAACCCTGAACCAACCCCTAATCCTTACTCTAACCATATAGTAAGTACATGCAGTTAATTAATATTACTCAGTACTTAAATGTATAATTACACTGTAACAGGAACACACACACACACACACACACACACACTGACACACACACACACACTCACACACACACTCACACAGAATCACATTACGCGTGTTAAAAGGCGATGGCATTCTGTAAATGGAACACTGCATCAGGAATTAATTCACTGAATGAATGAAGTAAAGCGGTAATCAGGGTTCGAACTCGACTCCGACAAGCTGCTGTTGCGCAATGATCGCGATAATAACGCGCTGCCTGCGCTTGTACAGTCTGATCTACAGCTCTCTGCGTGCTCCTGGAGTTTCTGATCTCTGATCTACAGCTGTGCTGTCACTCACTCACAACACATGATCTCCAGCTCCGAGCCAATGCAACGGTTTCTAAGAACATGATCATAAGATGATTACAGTCTCAGAATGCATTTAAGAGTTTAACACTAAAAATCAATTTTTTTAAATGATCAAATCAATCAGCTTTTATAATTATGATGGTACGTGTGAGTTTCTGTAAATGCATTACATAAGAATCTCATGACACACTCATTACAGTGCTTTACTCTGTAAAGACTCACCATAGCACCGATCAGATGAGCGGCTTCTGCTCCGCGGCTCCCTCCTCTCAGGCATCGCACACGCAGCATGGCGCTCTGGTTCTGGTTCTGGTTCTGGTTCCGGACTGGAGCTCTGAGGCATGCAGCAGCAGTTCTGATCTGAGGCGCCGCGGGGACGCGCTTTTATAGCCAAATCTTGAAGCAGCGTCACGTGACGTCAATCCTGACAGCAGCACATTCTATCGCTATCTGTCGCGTCGGAGCTGCATCCAAATGACGCAACGCTCGGTCCGCCAACGCCACGGTGCATTCGCTACTGTAATTACTGTAACCAGCTGCTGGATGATAATAATAATATTGACTTTCATACAGCGCCCTCAAGGAAGACAAACATAAGAAGCAAGGTAGCTATAAAAGTAAAAATAAGTAAAAATGCATATCAATTTAAATGATCAACTTTAAAACAATGAAAAGAGTTAAATGGCTTTAGATTAGATGCAGGTAAAGCTCTGTCCTCCATACAAAGCGACTGGCTGACTACACATGATGAAGAATCAGAAAGAAAAGCTCTGACAGGCTCAGGATCAGAGTAACAGGATCACTTCGGGGCTCTGAAGCCGAGTTTTGCACATATCGACATGTATTTGTTGTGCATTTGTTTTGGAGACCTCAGCAAGAAGCGCTTTACTGCATGTCAGTGCGAGAAAAACACAAGAATATTGACCAGCTTCCAGACAGAGAAGAAGATATCATATCTCTGAGGTGAAAAAAACATATTCTGATGTTAAGCTCGCATCAAACTTACATTTACAAGCTTCCACTGACAATATTCATACCTTTATCAGCCTTAATGCTGCTTACAGGCAAAATTGCGTCATCATGTTTTGATGTCAGAAAGAAAACAAAGTCATATTATAACTAGGTTTATAATTCATGTGCATCTCTGTGTCATCTGCGTAAAATTCTAATTTAAAACATGCTGACCAAGAGGAAAATGTAAATATTAAAAAGCAGTTTATGTACTGTGAGCCAGAGGTTATTAGTGGTAAGGAGGTTATGAGCAACACTATACTACGTTAAGTTTTTGCAAAGAAATTATAAATTGTTCAAAGCTTGAGTATGTAATTTCTGCGCGAAGCCCCATCAGCCAATGAGCGAACAAACCCTTAGCCACGCCCCCGATTCTCCCATTGGTCGAGCCAAGGCTGCGGTGCAGACAAAATCATCACCCGCGCTAAATATCATGAAGAAAAAATACATTTGCTGCAGTATAGTAGAAGGCACTGTATATAATATTTTTTGTATACAATAAATTACGAGCTTCAGAGCGCGCAGACGAAACACGGTCATGTTATCCAACACAGTTCTGGGAGTTAATTGTAATGAAGCACTTTGACGAGACTGCATTTTAGAATGACAAAACTAGCATTTCTGATGCTGTGCAATGAGATCGATCTGATGATTAGTCCGATTTTATGCTCTCCCATCGCAAAGTCACGTCTTTTTTTGATGCGCATTAAGGAATTTATACTGTAAAAGTGTTTCCATCACAGTTTATGCGCATGTTTTCTTACCGGATGAGACATTTATCCTACTTAGTTGAGCACGTAAGTTTTTATGCACATTTTTAGAATTTATGCGCATCTTGGCGTTTCCATCCAGCATTTTTTTATGCGATATCCCAAAATGCACATAAAAATAGGTGGATGGAAACATAGCTAGTATTTTTAGTTTTCCGCAAAATTAAAGGTGGGGTAAGCGATTTTTCAAAAACGCTTTAGAAAACTGATTTGGGCTGAATAGCAAAACAAACTTGTAGCCAATCAGCAGTAAGGGGCGTGTCTACTCATTATGTGGAGGAGAGAGCGTTCAGTCCAAGCCGAGCGACAGAAAGATAGAGATGGCGGATAAAAAACAAAAGAGGAAAAGGTCTGCGGAACAGAAGAAGGCTTAAGGTAAGAAGTAGGACCCGTGTAAATATTGCATCAGCTTTCCAGCGCTGAAGAGAACTCAAGGAGCGGAAGGCCTGTGATCAGACACCGAGGTTGCTTAGTTTCTTCTCGATAGGTGAGTAACACCGTGTCTGCGCCGTAACAGCTAAAGTCTGTCTAGTACACTGGACGCGACAAAGCGACTGTTGAAAATCATTTGAAATTTGTGTCAATACGTCATGAATAGAGCAGTTTTCTGTCGGGGATTTGTCGTGTCGTGTCGTGCCGCATCCAGTGTAGACCATAGATATGTATATATATATATCTGTGGTGTAGACAGCATCACTGATTATAATGAGTAATTTGAGTAAAAGTGCTACAATACATCACCAGCACACAGAGCCATTTATCATGAACACCAAAAATAGTACAGGATTTAAATAAACTAACTGGACCGTATCGAACATAGTGGTGGCTATCATATGCAATAGACTACTGCTTTACTTAACAAAGCTCAGTCAAATTTGAGTGTGAGAAAACCAGGACAAGCAGAGAGCAGATGTGGTAGAGAAACTGAAGAGTAGGCCTTTCATTTAAAGAACAAAGTTTGACATAAAAGGTATCAATGAGAGAAAGACGAGATCAAACAAGACAACAGATCAATGGAATCGATTGACTTTCCCTAAAACTGACAGTAAGAGAGAAGGAAAAACTAGTAATTCCAAGACATAAATGTGCATTTATAAAACAATCTCAAAAACGTGTCTTTTGTTACATGCAGGACACTCTACAAATGAACGGATGCGAGATCAAAAGTCCTGATGTGTGTGTTGAGCTGAACCCTGGACTTCATGAACGAGCTTCAGTCCTGCAGCACTCGGGCAGAGTTCACACGCATCTCTAATAATAGTTCATTTGAGAGTGTCATGAAACCGCTCTGTTTCAGCACTGGTCTTTCACACCTTAGACTTGAAATCGACTCCAGAAATTAGCCAACATTAAAGCTGTAATGAGGGAATCCACGTCCACAGTAACTCCAAAGAGCCGTAAATCCTGGGAAAGACAACACAGATGAGTCCACCACAGAAACACTTACAGTTTCTGCCGAATCTGTATGTTTTACAGCAGACTGTAAAGGTAACATACAAACATCATTGTTTTGAATGAATATCCTCCTAATCAATGAATTAAGAACAAACAAGCACCTTGTCCCAATCGGCCATTTCTGAAAACAATCCTGAGCAAACCGTTGAGATCAAACTTCTTTAATAAAAACGCACACCTGTATGTTTGCAGTATACAATGAGTTAAACAGAAAAGTAACAACAACTATGCAAACTTTATCAAATATGAGAGAAATTCAAATTCTGCTGTAAAGCAGCTCTAAACGATTGTGATTGTTCAGATCAATTCAGTTGAGTGTTGATTCACTTCAGTTCAATAACTGTGTGAAGTTCATCTATTATGAAACAAGTTCTAAAGAAGACCTCATTTAGATTAATTCAGATCAAGGTTGTTCTCATCTGATAGTGTCAGTGCAGTTAAATCAATAATAATACTAAATATATGTGACCCTGGACCACAAAACCAGTCATAAGGGTCAATTTTTTTTAAATTGAGTTAATAAGCTGAATAAATAATCTTTCCATTGATGTATGGTTAGTTAGGATAGGACAGTATTTGAAAATCTGGAATCTGAGGGTGCAAAAAAATCTAAATATTGAGAAAATCATCTTTAAAGTTGTCCAAATGAAGTTCTTAGCAATGCATATTACTAATCAAAAATTAAGTTTTGATATATTTATGGTAGGAAATTTACAAAATATCTTCATGGAACATGATCTTTACTTAATATCCTAATGATTTTTGGCATAAATGAAAAATCTATAATTTTGACCCATACAATGTATTGATGGCTATTGCTACAAATATACCCCAGCGACTTAAGACTGCTTTTGTGCTCCAGAGTCACATATACACATTAGTCAAGGCAGAGTACAGAAATGCAGTATTTACACACCGAACACCACAAACACTCAAGAAGCAGGTCACTCGATGAGCTCGGCTGATTTCGTCTTCATTTTCTTGAAATATTGGACTATGCCAGTGCCACACAGTGTTTGTACAGTGTTTGTACAGTAGGGTTTCCAGTCAGTAAACAAGACACAGCTGTGGGTTTCTCTGTAACATGTGCTGCTTCCACAAGCTCACACTGGACTGAGACTCAGAAGTGTGACTGTAGTTGACTAGCTTTATTAGACAGTGATTAGCAAGACCATAAAACATGTTTGATAACTCAAGATCTAATTCACATATTTTCTGAATCCACTTCACATAAAGAAAGCGGTGCAGCAGGACGTTATCGGCGCACGTCTCCTCCCTCCTGTCTATCGCTGTGACCTTCGTTCTAGCTCTTCAAACACACAGGTCTCGCTCCTGCAGTGCATGCTGGGAATCAGGACTCTTTCCACTCATACAGCCATCTGCGGTGAGCGCGTGGGAGCGGGATGTCACAATTATTTGCTGAATGAAGCTCGGCCTGTATTTTGATAGCGAGGGGTCACTGGGCTTGATTTATCAGCTGGAGTAAAACAGCTGCTATCAGGAGTCCCTCGAAGCGCTGATAGCGACGCTCGTCTTGACACGACTCCTTGTTCAGAAAGCTCTGGAAATGATGCAACAGCTCTGAGAATCCACCGCAGATCTGGATACAGCTGCTTATGTAAAACCAAAACATGTCAAATGTTTATGTGAAACCTAACAGCCACAGAGTGGTCATGCACACTAAATATAAGCTTCTGAGCACTGACTTCAGACTGTTTAATGATTGCTCTTACAGAGGCTCTCAATGATCGATCGACTCTGGGGTTTGAGTTAGTCGAGCAATGATAAGAGTTTACAAGCGACCCTGTTCTTCCAACAGACTAACAACTCAGAGAAAAAATAAAACACGATTCCTGAAGGAAATGCAGAGTTTGCTCTTCAAAACAAATGTCATTCACCCTGTAATTTGCCCTGATTGTGTGCTTTGCCCTGACTGACTCTAGTGTGAGCCATTCAAGCGCACCGTGAGGAGCAAATCACTGCTGTTTTAATGAACAGAAGAACGCTAGTCAACTACATTTCATTTTTACGACATTTGTAGACCTGCAAACTTGACTTGTTGCTTTTGTAATGAATCTGTTCAAAGACTCACTTACTGACTGTTGTGAGTTTGTGATCAGAAGAAA